AGCATCAATGAGTGCAAATATCAAAGAGATTGCAGTAGGTGGCCCTAATTATTTTAATATATATAGTTAAATTTAATATAATATTGGAAGTTTCAAACAAAATAATGAAAAATATGCAGCTTATTCATAATGAAATATTTTAGATACTGCTCAAGCACTGGAAATAAAAATAAAAAAACAAACACAATTCTAAATGGAATGAGCAACTAATGGGTGGTCGTGATAAATTATTAAAAGAGATAAATCCCTATGCTAAAGCATTCACAATATTGTAAGAAATAGAGAATGAAGTGTTAAATTCATGTAATATTCAAGGAGGCGTAATTGATATAGTAATAAATATAAAAGGAAATTAGACAACTGATCCAAGATGATATAATACACTGAGTATATTCATTGATGAATTTGTAATAAGTCAGTTATTTACATTAATAATTTGTGCATCGATACATGGAAAATAGATAAATAAAACATCATTGAGGCAACATTAGACAATAAAAAAGGCTACCATCTTAAAAAATGTGATTCATCGTCACTTAAAATTTTATTATTAATAAAGCAATCTATGGACCATTTTTTAATTTTCTAATATGTCATGGTTCTAGGAAAAAACAATATTATGAATCATCAATACCATAATATCAGGATAAAAACTTACCTTTCATTGAAAGCTTTCGGCCTCAATATAAAATTCTAAGGTAATAATCCTAATTCATTTTAGCATTTTCTCTATATAAAAATATATACATAAAGATTCTTAATAATATAAAATATAAATAAAATGAAACATATTGAGATGTCAATTGGCCAAGATGTAGTCTAAGATTTATATAATATCAGAAATCTTCTACTACTTATGCTGCATTGCATTTATACATGAAAAACATAATAAGGTATAAATATGATTGAGACAACATTATTACATTTTTGCCATATAAATAAATTTAAATATATTATATTAAAATTTTAGAATTATTATATAAATATAAATACTAATTATATAGAAATATATTACATTAATAATGGACCATATAAAGAAAGATAATTATATTATATTAAAGAATACTTTCTATTTTAAATATTAGTCCCAAAATACATGAATAGAAATATTAGGTAAAAAGGGAATATCAATGATAAACATGTACAATACTTAAAGTTTTTAAATTATAATATAACACATAAAGCTAACATCTGTAACTTATTATTATGCAATTCCAAAACTTCCAGTCTGAAATCATGGAAAGAGAAACTCCGTAACAATGTTTATATTTTTTAAATTTAATAGATGCATGCACTTTGGTGAGTTTTAAAATATATTTTTAACATCGTTATTTTTGAGTGTTCTGTAGTAACACATAATTTATTAAGAGGAAAAATTATCGATTTTAATTCATCAAATAATAATATTTTTATCATTTATATATAGATTTCAAATAAAAGATAAAATTATTTATTAAAAAAATGACTCATCTGGCCATGGGATCAAATTCCATTATAGAATATTTAAGACTTCACTCAACATTCAGAATTGTAAATATGATATAATATACTGAGATATATTTATTATGTTATGATGTGTGTTGGTGATAGAATCAATTATAGAAGAGATTTTTAACATAAAAATTATGTTATGTTTAACTATATATCTTATAATTATGATTATGTTAAAAATTACACTTACGTTTACAACTCTTTGAAACTTAGAAATAAACACAATAAACACAAGTCCCAGTGTAGCTGGGACTTTTGCTAGTACTCCCTTATTTAAAAGTGTTATTGGCATATGCGTCTTTTATTCCATTTTTAGAATATTTTTTATTAATATGCTTATAATCTAACAGTTTAAATTCAAAAACTTCACATAGATGGCATAGATCCAGTGCTAAAAGGGTGGCAACACTTCAATTAATGACGCTCCAAATCAAGTGAAATGTTTTAGGATGATTGGGCAAATTTATATAGGACAAGCTGCCAGGCAAAGGAAAAATCATTTCCCCAGGGAGATGAAGAATCTGTAAGTTTTCTGTTGATCACATCTTCCTCTTTTTCCATCTTTTCTCTAAGTTCTCTTTCTCCATAATCTAAAGTTCTTTTCTTAATCCTGGCAGAATTTCTTTTATAAATATATAGTCAAGCTCAGGTGCGGCAAGCGCTTTCAATCCACAGCGATCTTCCAAAAGCTCTGGAAGAGCGACAAGGATGATAAGCAGTTGCCACTGCTCGTTAACAGCAAGTTCATGCTCTGCAAAGGCTTGCACTTGCACATCCAAGATTGCGAGGGATGGCCGAGAGACCAGAGAAGTTTTGGATCAAACTCACTGTCGAGGAGTGTAAGCTTACCATTTCCAGGATCAAAGCCACTGTTTCTAAGCTCTTCGTTGAGTCTGCCGTCCAAAGTTTCTGGATGGTGTGATCGAGGAGGAGAAGAACATATTGTGGACATTGATCCGGGATATTCGAGCTCCAAAGGAATAGTTTTGGTGCATGGTTTTGGAGGTGATGTCTTCTCTTGGAGGCATGTAATGGCTCCGCTAGCTCGACAAACCGGCCACAGTGTTGCTGCGTTTGATCGGCCTGGCTGGGGACTGACGAACCGGCCAGGCAAAAATGGTGGCCGTGACAAAGATGGTCTTCCCAATCCTTACGAGCTCCAGTCACAAGTGAATGTTCTATTCATCGCCGTCTAGAAAAAAAAAAGAGTTTTTTCTGTCGTTCTTGCTTGTTTGATTTCTCTGATTAGAGCTCGCAGGTGGATTTGTTGCTGAGCTTTTGCCAGCAACTAGAATTCTCATCAGTCGTACTCGTTGGTCACGACGATGGTGGATTGCTCGCTCTTATGGCAGCTGCCAAGATCTAAGCTCAACGCAGGTAAGCTCCAAGCCACTATAGTTGGATCATCTCATGGATTTTCATTTCTGTGATGAAGGTGGTGATCAAAGGTGTGGTTTTGATCGCGGTGAGCTCCTCCAGAGAGGTGATATCGCCATTTGCTCGAGTTTTGCTCCACACTGCTTTGGGACGGCACATACTCCGGCCATTGCTGTGCCCAGAGAGCCATGCCTGGCACGATGCTTCCAAGCTCACCTCCAAAGTGATGGAACTTTACAAGGTATGAGGAAAAATTCGAACTTGATCAAAAGAATTCCATGATTTTCCGTGTATACATTGATCCAGGTATCTTTTCTATCTTGTTGTGATGTTTAGACCATTTTCTTCTCACAAACTTGCTCCTGGACAAAATGAGGGAGACTGCCAAGGAAAGTGTTTGTCAATCTCTCCTCCATCGCGCATAACGCCTCTTACAGTGGTGGAATCCAGTTCTCACACCTTAATGACAAAGCCTGGTACACCAAACAACTCTCTTTTCTCGTGAGCTTACATTCTTCCTTTTTTCTTCCAAAAGGTACTCCGACAGTAGAGGATACAGTCAATCCAACCTCGCGATCATCTTCCACGCCAAAGAACTGGTAATGAGATTCAAGGTATTCGTCTAATGCTTTGAAATCTCTCCCACCTTTCTCTTTCGTCAATGCTTTCTCTTTCGCTGATTAGGCCGAAGGAGTTGACATCACAGCCAACGCTGTTCATCCAGGGTTTATAATGACACCTTTGATGTGGTACACATTCTACATAATGAGTTTGTCTCTTTGCCTCGTCATTGTTTTCGGTTACTTATGGAACTTTGATCTTCATGCAGGGGTTCTCAAGTTCTTCTCCAGCTTCCTTTGGAAAAATGTGCCACAGGTAAGAAGAATTCTCCCAATTATCTGGAAGTTTTTCGTGACTAATACGTGATTGATCTCTCAGGGCGCTGCTACGACGTGCTACGGCTTTACATCCAAGCCACAAGGACGTCACCAGGCAATACTTCGTGGATTCCAACAAATCCAACTGTAGCGCTTATGGCAGAGATCCCGAGCTCGCTCACAAGCTATATACCCTCTCCCAGGAGCTTATAGACAAGCATTCTCCGTCCTAAAGGTAAAAGGTTGATAGTGCTAGAGAGCGAGCGAGCAAACGAGGACAACTCGGCAATGGTTTGTGGATAGACTGTATTTACTCTTCTCGAAAGCTCGAGCTCGAGCTTGATCAAAAGTAAGACGTGTTGCCTACATTGCACATGACTAAAACTTTGGTTTCAAGCATGTCGTCCATTCGCGTACTTGATACCCTCTCGTTGGATTCCAGAGTCTTTGATCCCACCGTATGGCTGGCTATCAACGCGCATGCTTGGCGAATCGTTGAGGCAAACTCCTCCAGCCTGTGAAGATCAAATAATCATCAAACAAACGATCAACTATATCTAAACGCAAAGCTACCTCTATGTGCTCAAACGCATAGAAGGCCTTGTTTAGATCATGTGTAAAGACGCCGGCTTGGAGACCATAATGCGTGTTGTTAGCTTCCTTCACGGCTTCCTTGAAATCACTGCGTCACCACCGCTTTCGTTTAGAGAGAAAAAAAAAGAGAGTAAATAAAAACTTCGGTAGCTAAGAAACTTTGAGAGCTTACTTGTATGAGTAGAGAAGAATCACAGGACCAAAAATCTCTTCCTTCCTTGTGTCTGTGTCAAAGGGAGTGTCTTCCAGGATTGTTGGCTTCATGCAAGCTCCCCTTCACTTACCACCAACTAAAAGTTTGGTGCCTGCCTTCACTGCCTTGTTCATGCTCTTCTCCACTGTAGCTGTTGATGCTAATTAGCTTACCTTTGGTGTGCCTTCGGGTCCTAACATATACCATTGCTCAACTTCACAAATTGATACTTTAATTGAACTTTGCATACTCGTCTTTAAATTCTATTGTATTGTTTGTTTTCAAATGGAGCTTTGATCTAACGTATTTGGTGCTGGTTGTGTAAGTGAAGGATGCATTGATAGCTGCTGTTAAGAAACTCAAAGGTGGAGATCTTCGCCAAGATGACACATCAATCGGGCCCATGATATCTGAGTCATGTCGGATACCTCACCTTTCATGTAAAGATGCTGCATGTGAATGCACGACTAGCCGCTTTGATAGAATCCCTTGTGGACCAACTTAGCGATTGTACCTTCCAAGTCTGGAACGAGATCTTCCACTATGCATGGAGCATTGCCTCCCAGCTCCATAACCACCTGTAAGAGGAATCAAAGAAGTTGAAGAAAGTGAAGCTCCATCTGAAGGAAGATATAATAAAATATCATTACTTTATAGTATCTTTATAAGCAAGAATAATTTTCTAAATTAATTTTAGTCTTCAAGATTAGCATTTTCTATAACATCCATTTTAAAACTGATATAAATCCAGCTGAAAATATGTTTCTTTTTAAAAAAAAATCTTTAAAAATAGTCTTTCTATTTTATGTAGATATGGTATTTCATAGTATTTAATAAAGAAAAAAATTTCTTAGAGGAAGGAAGCAGTGGTTATTGCAATATAAAATATATTTTAATTATTCATATATATAGTAGTATGTTAGATCTAATTATATCATTTTATATAATTTTTAGATTTATGTAATATAAAATCAAGGTTTGAACAATCTTATTTATAATACAAGAGAATGATGAAGTAAAATGATTTTCTTAAAAAACACTTTAACAAATTTAAATCTTATTATGAATATTATAATGTTATTTTATATTTTAATTGCTAACATTTATTACTAGATTGATTTACTGATAGTGTTGTGTAACTAATTGTAATCAACAGTGATATGCTTTAATTAACAAGAATTTTATTCTAGAAAAAATCAATTACAGCTTCAATACAAAATAGAAGAACACTAAACCCACTATGAAGAAAATCCTTCACAAATTTTCATTATGAATATTTCTATATTTATTTCTAGAGTATCATAATCTAAATATTTATTTTATTCTTATATTTTTGGTCAAATTCTATAAAAAATTTACATGCTTTTGTTATATATGTTAAGTCCACTAACAATATCAAAATATTCCCACCTTCTTCAAATATATATATAAAAAAATTTTTCACAAAAATAATCAAATGATACCCTTATAGGTTTGCACTTGAAACCCTTGGACAAGGTATGTTATTTAGAATTTTTATCTCTTAACTCCAATTGATGAAGATAGTGGGAATAAAATTTAAGTGTTACGGATAGGTTTTACAAGAAAAGAAATATATCAAAAAAATTATTGAGAAGTAAATTTGAATATTACCAAATAAATAAATTAGATTATACATTTTTTTAGTTAAAAAATAGAAGTGGAGTATTTGAAGCAAGAAAGAAAACAAAACTATGCTCTTAATTTGAAATATAAATTACTAATTATAAAAAACTAATATATTTTTACCAATAGGAAAAATTATTGATGATATAAATATAAAAACATGCACATATTTGAAGAAATATAAAAAATATGATTAATTTTGGAAGATTTTTATAAGTACAAAAAATTTTATAAATCACATTTGGTCTACAAAAGAAGAGTTTTCCACAATATTCATGTTAAAGTTAATATAAATCATAGTTTAAAATATTCTTTAATAAATATTTTAATAAATAGTTGCTATATTTGTGTTATAAAAAAAATTTATATTATATGAAACATATCAAATATCAATCAAAATATCTATTTATGTAATTTCAATTCCTATATTATTTAAAATATAAGTATCAATAAAGTTATTTTTTAAAAATAAAATGAAGAATCATTGCGAATAAAATGCAATAGTAACACTTTAGTCAGAAATGATAAGCTTTATAGTACAAATTTGTTCTCAAAAAGATATAGTAATTTAAAAATGTAATATTTATATTATTTTTATATGAAATTCAATAATGTATCATGCACAAAATAATATAATATTAGTATTTACATAGTAATGTGTTAGATCTCTATTTATATTTAAAAATTTAATACTTTATAATCTAGGTTAATCTATAATCATGTTCAGCTTTATATAATTGCTGAATAGTAACTTCTGTTAAATCATTTAATAGTAATTTTTTTTAAATATGATTCCATTGTTTTATCATGAAGCATTAGTACTGATTTGTCTTAATATGAACATTATATAATAATTTTTTTTGGAGCTAACTCATTTCAAACATCTCTAATGTAGTGTGAATATGTATATATATATTTACTAATGTATATTTTAAATGTAAAACCAGACAGATAATAGAAATTCTTTTCTTCTTTAGTAAACTATGAAAGTTTGAAACATCATTATAGTTCATATAAAAACTATTCAGATCAATATGAATTAAAAATTATAATTTCAAAATAACTAACCTTTTATTTGTTTTGTAGTATATATAATTCTTTTTTTTTTTGAAAAATCAATTGCTAGTCAAGTATGGCAGCAATCTTATAGATGTGTTTTTTATTGTGTACCCTTTTATTAAAAGCAATAAAAATTTCAAATTTCAAATTATTCATGATTAAAAAATGATATTATCTTCCCCAAAACTTGCATTATCATCTATTTGCATTATTGTCCATTTTTTGGGAGATGAATAGTAAATTGAAGATAAATTTATGTATACAATTAAAATTTCTAACATTGTAGAATTAGAAAAGTAGATTTATTTATCTTCAGCATGTTATGTCTCCCAGCAGATATTTGAGCATACTCTTTGATCTATAGAATGAAACCTTTATAGAACAAAGAGTATTTGATTGATTTGATAGTACTTCAGTGAAATTAAACATAATTTTGTTGTACAAAGATAAATGGAAAAATGAAACATAGAGATAATACTCTTAATTCATATACGCATTCTCTCTATATAAAAATATATGTAAAAATAGTGTTAATGATATGTAATACAATACTTTAAATTTAATTAGTACTAAACTCCATAACAATGTTTATATTTTTATAATTTACAACATGTATGTAGATTAAGTGAGTTTTGAATCTATATTTAAATCTATTTTTATTTTAATTTGAAAAATGTTTATTATGATTATATTATGTATTTATAATGTGATATGTTACATTTAATTTTTTAAATTTTAATTTTTTATCTAATATATTATAATTTCATTAAATATTCCATGATAGAAATAAAACGTAGATGGAATAGAATATTAGTGTAAGAATATTTATAAAGTTGGTATTATGTAGGATTTTCTTGAAATATCTTTAATATCTCCAGCTGGATGGTAACACTACACCTTTTACCTTATCTTTCCTCATCTTCCATGATTTGTCATTCCATAGTATTATTTCTACATTGGCATAATGAGCCATGAAGATTATTTATCTATAATATAAAATCAATCCTCTCAATACACTAGGAAAAATGGAAAAAAGAAGCACCAGCAGCTTACATTAAATCCTTTATACATACAGAAGTGAAAAAAAGCATTTGGCAGAAGTAATAGCCACTAAGGGACAATTTTTATTTATATATAGAAAATGTATGAAAAATTTAGTGGTTCTTTCTCACGATATAACTATATTTGAAATATTGCTTTAAAGTATTTCATAATCAAATTTTTTTTATAGAAATTACACTATTTTACTATCTCTTGAGTTGCAAGTAACTATTATACATTTCTTATATTCTTTCAATATATCTAGAATCACTCTCTATTGCCAGTTTATGAGGTTTAATATAAATGAGGTAGCAATATGGATAAATTTACTAATGTATGTTTTTAAATGCAAAATGAGATACATAATAAAAAATCTATTATTCTTTAGTATACTATGAAAGTTAAAGGCATCATTACAGTTCAGATAATAAAGAAGTTAACTCAGTACGTAATTAAATTTATAACTTCACCAAAAAAATTACAAAAAAACCTATAGTTCTTTGATTTTATGAAAAGTCAATTGTGGGTGCTTTTAGGGTTGTTTACATTTTTATAAAGGCAATAAAAACAAATTACAATTTAATTTTTATGATGATAAATAAAATGATCTTATCTTACCAAATACATCCATTTTATAATTCCATTAATTTCATTATTTTACATTACTCTAATGCTGAATAGAAGCAAAAGCTAGGTAAATTTAACCTTGTATACAATTAAAATTTCTAACATTGTAAAAGTAGAAAAGAAAATTTATTTATCTTGGGTATGCTATATATATCTCCCACATCACCTTACCAATTTGATTGAGAAATTTAACTATTTTATTACTGATATGGTTTATTTTTAATAATCACCTAAATTATATTAATTCAAATAAAAACATGAAAAACTTATTAAATTTAAAATTATAACTTAAATTTTATATTACCTATATTTTTATTTATAACATGGTTATAATATGTTAAAAAGAGGAGAAGTAATGTATAGGTAAATTAATACACAGCATTGTCATAATATTTATTATAATCATCCTCACAATACTCATCTTCATCACAGTACTTCCTCCTGATTGTCTGCTTAGTCCTAGCCATCTCTACCTAGAACAATAAAGCAATGAATGTAAATAGTTCTCATAAGCTGCTATATTAAGCCCTTTTATCATCTTCACTCTTCAATATTCTTGCTTGAAAGAACAACAAGAACTATGACATGGAGGAGGACATACCCAACTACGAGCGCTATAAATGCAGACTTGTCAAGAACATGCCAAGGCTGGTGCTTATTCCTCCCTAGCTAAGATACTTTCTCTAATGCTCTAATGGCTCCATTAGCAAGTGCTTCACTCCAATTTTGTTCCTCTTCACCATGTGAGCCCTTGTTGTCAAGTAGCTTAGAGAAAAGGACTTGGAGTGGTGCTTACAATCCCTTACAAAGCAACTTACAGCCAAGTATGTGGTTTTCAATATTCCTTCAGCTTTATGTTCTAATTTCTCTCCTATGCTAGGCAGAAGCTAACTATCATTGGAGGCAGAAGTAGAACCACACAGAAAAATCAGCTTGTGGAGAGCTTACTCTGCAGCCTTTTTTTGCCACTTTACCTGCACGATAATGGCACATGTCTATCATAGCATCTCATAGTATCATGCAGGTGAGTTTATTACCAATTTGGCTCTCAATGACTGGAGCTTGCTCAGAATTTCGTCCCAAAAGATATTTTATACACATACACACACACACACACACACACATAGGGGGGAGAGAGAGAGAGAGAGAGAGAGAGAGAGAGAGAGAGTGCTCACAATCTACCTGATTGCCCTAAAAAATTTCACTT